TTTTTTTTTTTTTTTTTAATGACTTACTTAATTGACCGTTTTTGAATCAAACTGAGGTATGGATCAGTCTGAGGTATGAGAAGGGTAGGTAGAAATGCAACACCTGATTACGAAAATAATCAAAATGGATACTTTTGATGCAGGTCTGTGGCTCAAAGCTTGGATTGCTCCACATCTTTGGTTAAAATATATTAACAAAAGCCTTTTATTACATCTACAGTCTGAAGCACTCTAATAGACACCAATGTTCCATCAGTCCTTCAAAAGACCTGTAGTGGCAGGAAATTAATGCCATGTAACTGACGACATCACAGCAGATGGCACAAACAGGAACAGATGAAGTATGCCATGTTTAGGCAACAGCCTTTATTGAGGTTTCAAGTGGCTTAAAAAAATTACAAAGCATTTACCTTCAAGGCAAAGGAAGAAGAAAAACAAAACAGCTGTTAGACTATAGATAAAAGAGTGTATATAGGATAACACATACAATACAAAAGGCTTGATATCCTTGAAAACAGCCTATGAGTGTTTCTATTCTTATGCTAGCTTTACCTGAAAAAGATTTGAGGACAACAGATAGTTTTTATATTATTCATTAAAAATTGCTAAATTCCTCTTCTGGGAAAAATATAAGCCATTTTGTTATAAAACACAACTTTTGAAAGACACTGAAATGACAAAGCTTTACTCCTAATGCCTCAATGCATACAATACATTGTGCAGATAGGGTATATCAATGTAATTGTCACCAGCAATTAAACACTAACTGACAATGCCTTCTAATAGAGGTTAGCTTAGCTAGAACAATACTTGCAGATGCCTAGAATGCCACTTCAGGTGTTCGAACTTACAATTAAGAATGTTGCCTAAAACATCATATAGCATGGGTTAAGGTAAAGTAAATGTTCATACTCTTTCAGGGCTCTGCCCCAAACTCCTTAAATACAAAGGAATCACACAAGAAACCCAAATTAGCTTTGCAAATACAATAAATGGTAAGGTACAGATAAAGGAACAAGAAAGGTAGACTGTTATAGTTTACAGAAAGTGACTTCACAATCAAAGTTGTGCTTCTTATCATTAGATCAGTTTGCAAATATGCATTATCCCCCACAATTGTGCCAGTTTAAGTTAGCTGCCCTCTGCAGAAGGAACAAGAGGGCTGACTGGCATTTATTTTCACGCAATTCTGTTCTACTCATGTTTATACAAAAATCACTGTCAGAGTTAATATAAATTGCCCAGGCAATACTTTTCACGCTACTTTCTGCTTAGTTACTTGCAGTAATATATTACACTGCATCTTCATTAAATATGATATCTTTCTCTTTTTTTTAATGCGTTGCTGAGGCAAATCGCAAGGTAAACTATTAGTATGGCTATTCTTCATATATCGATAGACCAAATCCCCTTCCCCACTGACAAGTTTCTACTACAATATTGATAAAGTTGTATTTTTTCTTGAAATGACAAGGTACATTTGTGATATATTTGCATATTTTTCACACACCAAAGTTTAAAATTCTCAGAAGAGAATATGAGTATAGATTCATCCGATGGTGAAGAAAGTGGTTTCAAAAAGTTTTTTGTGTTTTAAAATTAATTATCGGCCCCATTTCACCTTTTTTTTTATTTTCCGCTAAACATGCGTATCTTTGTTTACCCTGCAGTTTGCTGCAAAAGATCGGATGGATGCATTAGTAGCACAGTATTCTGCTTAAAGAGTTTTCAGATTATGCACTAGCCCCTGAACAGCTGAGAGTGCCTGTAAGGCAGGCTTCTGTAAAGTCATAAGTGAAGAGCCTATGTCCTAATGCACACTGTAGTCTGATCATCATTACTACAGAGGTACCCCCTATCACTGAGCAGTGCACAGCAACTGCACATATAGGAAGGCAAAAGAGTGTGGATTTCCCTTAATGAAGTATTTCATGTTGACATTTCACTGTCGCAGCTATATTCTTCATCATAGTGTCAATGTATGTATGTGAGACCTGGAAGGACTCTTGGAAAACAAGAATAAATATTACAGTTTAACTATGGTGCTAACATTTTGCTTAAACACTTTTCCTCTCCAACAGATTAAACTGAAACACTTGAATATAACATTTTTTTTTCTAATAAATGAGAGGGACATAGAGGGACTTGAAGAAAATGACACATTCCCTCTGGTCAAGCTGTCTTAGTCAAAGGAACAATATGAGGCAGGAGAAAATATGAATGCCATATGCTGAAGCAAGTCCTGTTCTGGTGTAAATACACAGGGAGCGTTGCTCAACAACATGCCCACTGTGAGATGATATGACTGCAGAGGTCCATGAGAACCAAGGACCTGATGGCCAATATTGGCTGTGTAAGATCAGTCAACTTGAATGAGTCTTTAACTGATGATCTTTCTAAGAGTTTTATGTCTGTGAGAGAGGGGAGTAATCTTTGTAATAGGAACGTTTGTGCTGATCCCTCCCCTTTGACTCCCCCTGCTGCTTCAGCACAGATGCACCTGCACTCACGTAGCTGACAGCTGTTTGAGCTGTACATCCAATTCTGACAGGCAGAACACCAGCTTCATTAATAAGAAAGGGCTGAGTTACGCCACTTTGTTATTTACCCCATGGAAAACTACAAGATACGCAGGACGTTAAGTAATAGAAGGGCCCTAAACTTGTTACAATGCACAAAACAGCATGAAAGAACTAATCAGTATATACAATGGATTGCAGTTCACTCAACTGATTGTAAAATGCTGTATTAAAATGATTTAAGTTGTTACACCATGGGTAAAGTCTGTTTACAGATCAGACTTTCAATAGCTGACTTCGATCTGTAAAATGTATACCCAGTAAAAGAAAACCAAAAGAAAATAGTCAAGTGTGCAACTGCACAAATATAATTCCCCACTATTAAGATAACAAAAACTTTTGCTATTACCATAATTATTATATATATTAGAAAGCTATACACAAGCATGTTAATTTCACAGATTTTTTTAAAAGATTCTT